ATAAGAAAAACGAATAGATTCAAAACCCACAGCAGCTTTTCAGCCGACTTATTGCCTGCTGCTCAGGCTCTGGTGAAGAGCTCCCTAGAGCCTTCCTCCACAGCTTTTGTCGTCGTAGGAAACACTTATGATTTGCGATTGCTGCCCCTGCCTTTCTGCACTGCTCCCTAATCTCTGCTGCAAGGTACCTGCATAATCCTTGGCCTAATAAAAATCTTCAAGAGACCAACAGGCTTAGTTTCATCTTCATGTGAACCATTTAGTTAGGGAATTTGGAAAGTAAACAGCACCTAGTCAATGTTTTAAGGGTGAACTGAACTACAGACCAAGGGGGGCGGGGGAAATCCACCCGGAATCTCCACCTTTGGCTGAGGAAGAGAGGTGATTTTGTGAATAAGATGCAAGCCTAGAAAATGCAATCAAGATGACTTATTTTTCCCCAAGATGACACTTGAGCATACCTTGACTTATTGTCTCTAGACTAGAAAAATGCGTTCCTCCATCCTCTGGCTGAGACTGAAGGCTGTTCCCGCCATGGGCTTCACTGCCTCTGAACAATATTCCCCGTTATTTCACGCCAGGGCCATGTGTGCCGGCACACCCAAGAGAGATTTGAGGCTACACTTACCATCTGAACGGTAAAAGGTCCATAATGGAGTTTTTAATGAAAAAATGTGTCATGCTTGGAAATCTTTCACGCTCGAAAATGAAACAACCATTTCGCTGTTCCTGACAAAAGACGTTAAAGGAACTATTCAAAAAAAGGTCTCCATTTGTAATCTTACCGTGTACCTTTCATCCTAGTGACATTATTCAGTCCTTTTTTAAAGTATTCACTTTGAAGGCCTCCATTCGCACCAAAAGAGCTGGTTTTGGTGTGTGAACTGTTTTGTCCTAGGACGCAAGTTTTGAGGAATATTTGGTGCCAGCTGGCTCTTCCCAAACTTATTCTTGATAGATGCTCATTTAATTTCCTTAAAGCGTTATTAGGGAAACCACATGATATCTGACTGTGAATTGTGCATGCATTTCAATTAGTGGAAGGCTACTGTAATTAGTTTTAAAGCAAGACTGCAGGTTGTACCAGAATTTGAGGCTAGCACAGCTATTTTATATATGCAGCTGCAATGTCCGTGCCTCGGGCCTCACAGTAAACTAAACTTTACTGGAGGGCGAAGGAAAGCTCCTCCAGGAGATGAAGTAACGAAAAGTGGCATATGGTAAAAGAGTCTTATCTCTCCCTACAATTTCCTGAAATTGGTCCAACCCCAAAAGTCTTGGGTAAAACTTACACCCTACCTTTGGAAAAGCAACCCTGCGGATCACGTTGTCTCCCAAACACAGAAGCGCTTCGTCTAGGGCAGGAAAAAGTCACGTACGATTCTCGGACATGTGGGACGTAGCTGGGCACTAAGCTGCTATTACCCTCGATGCAGCAAGAATCGGAGCTTTGGCGTTGCCGCTTGCGGCTGTATGAAGCTGAAAGCACTGTCGCGCACATTTGGCACCGCGCTGCTCCCGGGCTGGAACTTTTCACGTGCAAAGTTCACCCGTAGAACAATGTGAATCAAACGATCCCAGATGTGCCTTAAGTGCAGTATTGGGTTGCACACCTTCGCTAGCGCGAGGCAGGGCAGACCTGCTTGCGTCTGCGCTTTCGGAGCACGCCTGATATCAACCCGTCATCCCCGGCGTGCAGGACAATGGAAAAATGTCAAGTTTAAAAAGCCCTGCAGATACTTGGCCCATTCAGGTGCGGTGTTAAAACCCTGCCAAAAGGACTCGCGTATGATTTATCAGTGTAACACTCTGGCCAAAGCTGAAAACCAGACTTTACTGCCCTGTTAATTTTGATACAGAAAACAGAGAAAGTTTAGAACATCACTGTCCAGCTTAAAAGAAAACAAAAATTGAAACCGTGATAATAGCCGTGAGTGGATAGTGCTCTTTAAAGGGGGGATTGAAATCTTCTGCTATGCAGCTAAAGAAATCAAACATCTGCCTTTTAGTTAAATGCATCTAAAGCAAATCACGCTGTATTTTCCACTGGCTTGTCAGGCGTAAGGATTAGTGCTGCAACTGTAGCTGCTTGGTTTTCCAGCATAGTGTATTTTTACCAACTCAAAGCTTTTTTCGGCTCAAGAAGTAGTAACTCCCCCAAACCTCCTTTATGGAAGAATTTTGGACGTTTTAAGTGGCATCTCTCTTACTGGAACAGTTGGGGGACGTTTCTTGTGGAGGTTTGATGTCGGCTAACAGTCAATGGGAAGAAACCTCGACGTGCTGTATTTTGTGGGTGTTAGCAAACATCTATTCCGCGGCAGACAAAGCAAATCGTGTCCAAGCCTGGCGTAACTTCCCCAGCAGCCTCTGCTGGCGGCCGGAGCTTAGCGTGCAGTTCTGCAGGGCGCCGCTCGCCAGCGTTCAGTTTCTTGTGGAGGTTTGATGTCAGCTAACAGTCAATGGGAAGAAACCTCGACGTGCTGTATTTTGTGGGTGTTAGCAAACATCTATTCCGCGGCAGACAAAGCAAATCGTGTCCAAGCCTGGCGTAACTTCCCCAGCAGCCTCTGCTGGCGGCCGGAGCTTAGCGTGCAGTTCTGCAGGGCGCCGCTCGCCAGCGTTCGGACTCGCTGCTGTTACAGAGAGAGCTCATAGCACCCACGGCCCCGCTGTAAGGAGCAAACGCTGCGGCAGGACCAGCTTTGCTGGCAACAGGTTCTTTCTCCAGGGCTGAAAATATGACATATATAAAACATGTATTATATATATTTATACATACACTTATACATATATACAGAAAATACATATAAACATATATTTTAATAGAAATATATTAAATATAAAGTCATCTCAGCTTTCCTTTTCACATGTGCCTTATATCCTTGGGAGGCGACTGGGCCATGGAAGCGGCAGCTTGTGGGTGCGTACGTACACGAACAGGACGCTCTGACAGGCCTTCCACCTCCGGCAACTGTGGCAGTTTGGCCAGTAGGACCACGGAAAAAATTGTTAAAACATGGCAAGATCCAAGACTGAGGAATTCACATTTACCTTAGAACTGTCATGCTTCTGTTTGACAGTGATTCCCGCACTGAATCACAGCGAGAGGAAAGGACTCAGGCAGCAACTGTCCTTGTACCATGGCACTGTGGCCTGGCAGCGTTATCTTGGCTGCTTTCCTTGAAAATTCAGTTTTTCAGAACAATTTATGTGTATATAGAAACGTGACAAATGTGAAGGCTACAGGCAGGTAAAATCTGTCATCTTCAGAATTCAAGCAATGGCTCTAATAACTGTTAAGCTTGAACAAAACATACCGGCTGTTTCGGATAAATAATAACTAATGCAAGTCTCGTTTTAAAAAAAAAAATAATAGCAATTGTAATTTTAGACCGCGAGGTTAAAACCGTCTCCTCTAATTGCATAGCAACACCTGCATCACACCGCCTCAGGCAGCTGCGGGGAGTGAATAGGCTCGGACCCATAAAACACTAGGCGATGGTTCCACGGGCAGCAAAGGGTGGTTGATTCTGATCACCAAGCAAAGCATCCAGAGCAGGAACCGGCAGCCCATCACATTTAATTTAGGGAAGATGTTTCAAGATTTATCTCGAGGAGCGAAGTTGCCTCAACCTCCCAGCTAGAGCAATGTGTTTCCATGTAGGTATTGTTAAACCACAAACATGATGAAGTGCTGGATCTACCTAAACTCCTGCAAAAAAGGTAATTAATGAGGTGGCTGCCGCAGTCTAGGGGGAGCAGTTTTTACTCCCTGAGGTGCCACGCATTCCACAGCAGCCAGTTTCTAGGGGCTTGCACAGATTTGCTCCCGAGTCCAGCCTCCAAAACTAAAATACGAGGTTTGGTGTGGTTTTCATGGTCTCTTCAAAGTTGTGACTTCTGCATCCATCAAAATACAGCGCCAGCTCTGCTGCTGCCCATGCTTGTTAATTGGTATGATTTTCAGAAATACTTTATTTTTTTCCTCTTCTGTCAGTCGTTAAGATGCGACAGAGGGGAAATAACCCGTTTTGTATGCTTACAAGCGCCAATGGCATGGAACAGGCTGAAGAAGGCATCTTGCTTTGTTCTTTTGATAGTAAGCTCTTTGGTGTTAGTTGTTACCATGCTAGCATAACCTGGGATTTTGCAACTGGGTCTCTCTGCTCCCAGGACACCTTGTTCCTGACAACTTGCCTTATCCAGCAGAGGAAAGGTGGGAACAACAGCTCCCTGGCTGCTGGGGGAAGCACTCCTCCACCTGAAAACATCACTAGTACAACTGAGCAAGCAGAGCACTCAACTCTCTGATTACAAAAATAATAATAAAAAAAATCTTGTCCACCTCTTTTGCTGTAGAACTGAGAATTTTCTGGAGGATGCCTAGTGGGACAGATCCGAAGCAAATGAATAGATCCATTGGTATCACATGCAACTAGGAGGCGCTGCGAGCGAGGGGACTGTTGAACACCAGAGGGCAAACCTGGTTATAGAAACAGGGCTGGCAGCTCTAGCACAGGTAGATTATGCAGATGTGGCTCATGTTGCAGATGAGAAAGTGCTTCTCCGTCTCCCCCCAATTTAAGGCCATTCCTTTCCTGGCAAGCCAGCTACAGTAAAGCCAATACAAACAGCAGAGCTTGTAGAAAAATTGCAGTTTAATACGTAGTGGTAAGGTGACAAAAGAAACAAACCATTAACACCGTGTTACAGAAAGAAATGTACATGATTTTTTTTTTTTTTAAAAACATCTGCATGGAAAACGCAAGCAAATTCTTAAGGAAGGTATTCTCCGATTAAAAGACTCATACTGATATTGTTCTTTATGCCTAGAAAAATCTGATTAACACAAGTGATTAGGCAACTCCAATTATAAAGCTGTGAAAAACAGGCTAAAAGAGCAATAAAACTACGCTGTGATCTCTAAACCCAATATAATTGGGCAAAGTCAGATCTTC